GACTATGGGGGGATTTCCCATGATGCACTGAGATCCTCTCCCTTGTCGCCGTCGCCAAGTGCCTGCTCATGGTGGGAACTGTTGGGTCTCTGTAAAAACGTTTATAAGGAGTACGGTCCTACTGCTCCATCTGAAAAGTATCCTGAGATAACTTCTGTTATGAATTGGCACTATACAAATAAAACTTTAATTAAATTTAATTTTATTTGCTGTCAGATTAGGCCCCTGTTACTTCTTCTGATCTGACTAAATGGAATTCTGATAATAAATATTATTTGCTGAAGTAAACAGGACCCCTTCTTCTATTCTATTGTTAGTAATGTAGATCTGCTAAATGATCAGTCCCTCCAGGAAGTGTTAAGTGTTATGTTATGGTCACAACAATGAACACAAATTCAACCAATCCCTGTGAGTTCTATGATACCTTGCAGTTTCGTCCAATCATGGAAACATTTCTAGAAATTTGACCAATCACTGTAGTTTCCTGGTAATTTCACCAATGTTAACGCATTTTTATTCTTACTGGATCAAGTTGTGTTTGCATTTAATGAATTAGGAAAATAAACAAATGTTTGCAATTTTCACTTTCTCTTCCAAAACATTGCAACATACATTGTATTTTTTTTTCTTTTGAAAAGCTCCCATGAAATCAGGCCACAAGTCCTCATACTTGAACAAAAAATAGGTTGTTTGACATCACATTGCCCTTAGAACAATGATATGACATAACCAGACCTGTAGGTCAGAGGTGAGTTAAAGCAACTGAAACTCCTCAGTAAAGGTTAGAGACAGAATGCGGTCAGTGTTCAAAGGAACCAATGCTGACAGTATGCAAACTGCACTGTATGGTCCCATGTAAAAGTCACTTTCTCCCCGATTTCGGAAGAAAGATGATTTGGGGGAAAAGATAAATGAATGTATCAAGAATGCCCACGGTGCCTGCTGATGTTCCGTCTGTTCAGCAAACCAGGAAGTGTATCTCATAGCAAATCAAAAGATCCATCTTCATCAGGTGAATACGATTAAGACTGATTTTATTTTCATGGGTTTGTTACTTGATACATGCCACATGAATCTACGATAATCTAAATATTTCATATCCACTTTTATGTTAAAAGCCATCCAAATTAGCCAATTATGGCTTTCCCCACAGTTCGGAATCACATTCAGCTTACCAAATCACTCTGGTTGATTCTTACTTAGATTCTATATTATCTGACCACAGCAGGTACTCTGGCAGCAAGCCACTTCTTGAGGAAACAGCTGGTTTATTGCAGACTGGCTTTTCCTTTCTACACCCCTCCTGGGACACACAGCTCTACCTCCTGCTCACCACGGCGCACCTTGCTGCTGCTGCTGACATACACTTCTTTCTTTGCCCTAATTTCGCAGCTCTTTTGCCAGCAACAAGACCATCTGCCTTGCCTCTAAATTAGGAAGAGTATTTATCAAATGTCTTGTGATGGGAATACTGATCTGGGTTCTGCTTTGCCTTGCAAGTCGAGATAAAATGACAAGGTCAAGGATATGGAGATATGCACCCTTTCCACATCAATATTCATTAACTAACTGGTGGGTTATGAAGTAGAAAATGAATTGTTTGTAAGAGTTTGCTGTCACCAGCGTCAGTATAATGAGACACGGTGCGGCGGGAAGGTCTTTTCTGTCATCTGTAACTAGATATATTTATCTTCATTGGTGTGTTTGACTATATACATATGAATATAAGTCATCTAACTCCGGTCCACTCCTCCTGTTCTAATTCCTATTAAAACATTTCCAGTTTAAAGCGCCTGATGGACACAGACTGCCATCCGCCTCTGTGCATAAATCTACTAGTTTA